AAGCCCATGGATCCTGAATCCAGGCAAGAAGAGCATTGACCTATATTGATTCTGCTTAAGAGTCTAGATAGCAAGGATCATAGGATCATAGAATTATAGAACAGTTTGGGTTGGAAAGTACCTTTAAAAGCTACTTCTTTCCAACTTCTTGCAATGAGCAGGGATGTCTTCAATTAGATCTGGTTGTTCAGAGCTCTGTCCAATCTGACTTCCAGTGTTTCCATGTCTTTATTGTTCAATGTATTTAATACACAATGACACACATTTACTTGGCTGAGCAAGTAGGTACAATAAATCACAGAATCACAGGATGGTTTGGGTTGAAAAGGACCTGAAAGATTATCTAATTCTAAGTGCCATGCCATGGGCAGGCACACTTTCCACTACACACTACAAGTTGCTCAAAGCCCCATCCAACCCGGCCTTGAACACTTCTAGGGATTGAGTATCTGCAGCTTCTGGGGACAACTTGTTCAATAAAGTTTCAACTGGTAGTATTTCTGGAAAGAGGAGGTATGAAACAACTGGACTTTGTGCAAAAAACTACATGCTTGTTCTGGTTTCATCCAAAGACAGGGTTTTCTCAGTAACTGTGAGGGTGCAGAGCCTGGAGCCATGTGATGTGTCCATGTTGTCATTCTATACCATGCGCATCATCACTTGTGGGTAGAGTTAAGAGATTCTCACTTTGGAGAAGGAGGGGACTGCAGTCAGAGTAAAAGCACGTGCACGGGGGTCCGGCTGCCATTTTGTTAGTTGTCTCAGGCTCATGTTGCATCAGGCCAGTGGGTGAGCAATTTCCATGTAAAACACCCTCTCCCTTGTACACTGTTTTTATCAATATTGTTGCTGTTACTGTTTATTTTCTTATCTCACTGCTGTTTCCAATAAGTTTTTCTTAGCTCATAATCTCTGCCTTTTGTCTCTCCCACTGGAGGGGCCTGAGGGAGGGAGCAGGCATGTTGTTCCTAAACCATGACAGTGCTTAAATTCTTCTGTATATTTAAAAATTAATGTAATCACAAAGATGGTGGGACATCAAGAAAGGAAAAACTGAGAGGCAAAATTCTACATCCTTGTATGCAGAGGTGCCGGGGTGAAAAGCATCAGTCAGGCTTCAGGTGAAGTGTGAGGCATGACAAATGTGATTCCCCTTGTGTGATCAGGAGAACACGTTGCCATTGCTCTGGGTCATGTTTCTAATAATGACCAGACCAGATGGTTTGGTTTTGAAAAGAGCTATGGACAATTAAATAGCTGTGCAAGGCACTGGCAGCACCAGCCTTCAGTACTTTCTCCCCATATTTACGTGGATGAGATGTGATGGCAGAGGAAAGCAAAAACAGAAACTTATATGACACCTGCCACAGGCATCTTGGATAAAGCAGTCTTGGCTGTTAGAGAAATGCAGGCCTTGATCCTGCAGAAGCCAATTAATTTTGTATACACAAATAGTTTCACCATGGAATAAAGCATGCAGAAGTTTATAGGGAAATTTATTCCCCGGGAAGGGAAGTGGAAGTGAAGCAAGCTGGAGGAATGACTAAGAAGTAGGGGGGAGTTAAGCACAGAGTAGCAGAAGTTGAGCTACTTGGCTGACCCATCAGGTGAGTGGGTTGCAGCTGCAGCATCACATCAGATAAAATAACAGGAAGAGCCAAGTGATGGCACACACAGGGAAGATGACCACCAGGAAAACTGAGCACTGGAATGATCTTTTGATACCACTAAGCAGAGTGACAAAGCAGAAGAGGACATACAATGTGATGAATGCTCTTACTCATATCTGACTCAGGACTGAATGGGTGTTGTTACTTAGTGCTTTTTTTTTGTCATCTTATTTTGGTTATTTTACAAGTAACTGAGGCCAAAGGAAACATGTCATAAAGCCCTTGGGAAGACAGACATTGAGTGGAGTGGAGAGTCTGCAAATGAGTGAACACAAAGAATGAGTAAACCTACACATCTCAGGAAATAACTGCACAATCACCTTAGGTGAGAGAGGAATGGTTGCCAATATGAATCAATGGGCATGCACCACAGACGACTTAATCAGATGATGGAGGTGACTGTCCCATCTGCTCTGCACTCGTGTGGCTTCACCTTAAGTCCTGTGTGTAGTTTTGGCACTATAATATAAAAAAGATATCAATCTGTTAGAGTGTATCCAAAGGAGGGCCAAGGAGGATGCTGAAGGGCCTTGATGGGAAGCCTTATGAGGGGCAGCTGACATCACTTGGCTTCCTCAGCCTGGAGAAAGGAGACTGAGGGCACACCTCATAGTGGTCTTCAGCTTCCTCGTGAGGGGAAGCAGAGGGACCGGTACCGATTTCTTCACTCTCATGACCAGGGCTGGCACTCTAGAAAAGGTCATGAAGCTGGGTCAGGGGAGGTTTAGGTTAGATATCAGAAGATTCTTCACTCAAGAGGGTGGTCAGGCCCAGGAACAGGCTCCCCAGGGAAGTGGCCACAGCACCAGCCTGACAGAGTTCAAGAAGTGTTTGGGCAACACGCACATGGTGTGATTCTTGTGGCTGTTCTGTTGCAGGGCCAGGAGCTGGACTTCGACAGTCCTTGTGTGTCCCTTCCAACTCAGGATATTCTATCATTCTATGACTTGAAATCTCACTGTAACAGGCCAAGAGACCATGAAGAGAAATGAAGAGAAGACAGAAGGATCCTGCCAACTTACCTGTGGCAATCTTGGAGGTCGCTGAGTTTTAATACAGTTTCCTGAGCTCTTCTGTTTGTGCCCCAGACAGTAGACACTAGACATATCCCTGTATCTGCTGCTCTGAGTACCTGCTCTTTCTAACCTAATGCCTGCAAAATGGAAACTCCATGAACTTGGATGCAAACTGCAATCTTGCCTAAGATGTGAAGGCCTGTCATCTTGGTGGACCCCCAGAGGTGGATCTGAGACCATGAAACAAAACCCCCTATCAGTCTGGCCTGTGCTATGGTGTTCCCTATCTGGTGGGTACTTGCTGGCCCCCAGGTGTGCAGTTTAGCCCTTAGCTCAAGGGCTCGGCCAGGAATGGGTGTCATCTTTTGCAGAGCCTCATAAGATGTGTAGTTCTGCTAAGTGCACACCCCTGGGGCCCCTAACAGCAGATTAACTTCTCAGGCACGTGCCTGTGGTCCTGGGACAGAAAAAAAAAAGACAACTTGCATGCAAAGATTTTACAAATTTGGTCATCGTGACCAAACTTTATTACCCATTTTATGGAACTGTGACAAAGTCTAGGAATCAAGCAACATGGGGATCACAGAGGCTATTATGTTTATTGTGCTGAACAGACTGTGATAAACCAATAAAGGAACATTTTCAACAAGCAAGCGATTTGAAGTACAATCATAGACAGCAACTCTACATGAAGAACAAAGCAAAAAGTTAGAAGACACTCAAAAAGGAAAAGTAAACTGTAGTTCAACATCTTGAAGCAATTTTTTTTCCTGCAAACACACCTCTCTTGCAGAAATGGTAGAAGAGTTACATGTCCAGTCATAGTTAGCAGTGACCAATGATAGCAAAGAACAGTCGTATAAAATTTATCTCCCACAAAAATAAACTATATATATAAAAAAATTTTATGATGTTCTCACTGACTCAATGGCCACATGCAATTTTTCCATCTGAAAAAATGAGGTATAGTAGGCCCTAAGAGGTAGTAATGTGTTTTGATTGTACTACAATATATAGAAAATGTAAGATTCAGTTCATCAGAGTGGTACGTCTCTCAGAGGTTGAAGAGTGACACACAGAGGACAATTATTTCTGTGTCATCCACTGAATACTGTGGCTTTGAAAATGCAACAAAACCCCTCAGACCCCAAAAGGGACTTGCTAAGGCTTGATTTGATGCCCTTTGAAGTCAGCAAAATTCCTGCTACTGCCTTCAAGTGACACTGGATTTGGCCTGTTAGAGCTACTTATAGCTAGGATTATTTCTCTTTCACTTGATATTATCATATCTAGTTCTAATATTCCAATCAGCTCTTTCCCAGTAATTCCTGCCACTGACCCCTGCGCAGTCTTTCGTGGAGGTCGGTATTTCTTGACACTGACTCTTGGAAGAAGCCAGTAAGTCGTTATCCTTAACTGCACTTGGCTCCATGCTAAAGCCATACCAACAGATGCCTTCCTGAGAAACTACCCCTGGCCCAGTTAATAATACAATGGTACAAAGTACTGACTAGGAAAAGAGAGGAAGAAGGGAAATAAAACAGAAATAGAGAAAATGAAATTGGAGGTGGGGGAGAGAGAGAAAGAACAACAAAAGTGAGAGAGGGGAGAATAAAAAACCTTTACATAAGAAGCATTTAAAATAAATCTGGCTGAAACATATTACAAAATCACATTTGTGTAAAATACACGAAAATACTTGTCAAGCATTTTCTTACAATCTACTAATTTTTTTTAAAAACACATATTTGTGATTGCATTATGCAAAAGCTGAGCTTGTTGCTTCCCACCTACAAAGCTTCAAGTTTCTTTGAAGGTTTTTTTTGTTCATTTTTAAAATTTTTAATACGAAAGTAATTTAAAATGTGTTCATTTTCCACAAGTTATTTTACAAAAATATTTTTGAATTAGGGATTAGTTGCAGTCCTAACTGTTTCGAATGTCTCAAAACTGATGCTGAAAGTAACAAGTTCATTCCATTTAAAGTCTGGAGGTAGGTCTTTGTCAATCAATTAGTCCATTTCTTTAAAGAATTCATTTGAGGTACAAACTTGGACAGTAATATTTAAACTTTACAGCTAAATTTTTTCTGTCATGTAGTGTCCTTGAAGAAAATTATCCTCACAAACCTATCAGCAATTCAATACAAAAATATATTCAAGTTAACAGTACATTACACAGAAGTCTAGCAGAGAATAGAGTAAGTACATAAAATAAAACAAAACAAAACAAAACCAAAAACTCACACAAAAAAAAAGAAAAAAAAAAAAAAACAAAAAAAAAACACATAGTCATGCTGAAACACAAAAAAGACATTGTTTCCTTAACTGAAAAAAATGTTGAAATAGAAAAAAGGGGAAAATGCAGATACTCATGATTATCTACCCAGTAAAAATTTCCTGCACTGAATGTGTATAGCAGCATGTATTTATCAGTCTGTTGAGTTATTTGTAAAAATCAGAGGTAGTATTGAATAGTGGGGTAATATTGCATTTGGTGCTAAAAGTGCTGCTCTGAATGAAAAGATGGAGAAATGCCACTGGCACAGAAATGCTCAGTGAACCATCCTATGTCAAAATACATTGCTTAATGTAATGCATGAGCTTAGCTGAGGTACATGGTGTTCATTCTTACATTGTGACTGATGAGTAATGAGGAAAGATTCAATTCTTTCAAAATACTGGTACAGGGCAAGTAGAATTAGAAACTAAGCAAAAATCTGGATTTTTTTTTTGTTCAGATAAATTTACAATTAATTTCTAGGTATCTTTCTGTGTGTTTTAAAAGACTTTTATCAATAAAGACTTACTTATTAATGGCATAAAAGTGGTGTCAGTAATTTTTGTTTCTATAGAAAACTCCTGGCTCTAAGAAAGCCACGTTCCTGGCTTCCTATTATCAAGATGATAAGTACTGTTAATTTGGTTTACTACTGCTTGTGCTGATATGTTTGTATCTATAACTATACAACGTATCTTTGTCTTTCTTCCCTTTTGCAAAATGAAAGTACCTTTTTCATGTTGATTTCTTTCTTCTGATTACCAGCTGAACAAAATGAAAGATCAGCTTTCATTTTGTTTTTCCCCAAATAATAGTAAGTCGTAAAAAAAAAAAATCAAGTACAAGTCTACAAGAAGGTTACAAAAGAAAAAGAATAGTATCTATCCCATATCTTTGGTGTTCTAAAACAGGGAGTTCACTAAGTAGGGAGTGGGTTGCTGGAAGTGTTGCAAGGCGTAAGTGTTATACACACAGCCTTTCCTATTTCAATGCCCATTATAATGACTATTTTACAAGTTTCTTGTTTATACGCAGTGCAGTGAATGACATAAACCTGATTTGGAGCTCTTCTTGACCCAGTCACCCTTACTTAGCAGCTCAAACTATTAGTAGGTTAGGAAAAAAGAAAACAGTAATTAAAAGTTGCATCGTTAATCTGTGTCCCCTTTGTGTTACAGCAGTTTTTCACTAGACCTGGGACTGTGAAGGGATTACAAAGAAGATGATTAGTCAAATCCTTTTTAAGGTTATGTGATTTTTTTTCCCCCCAGGCAAAAGTGGAAAGACCATGGCAATAGAAAGTAAGTGGTCAAGGCAGTGTCTTCTCCCTTCAAAAGACCCAGCTGCTGATGAGGTAGAAATTGCATGGTGTGATCTCCTAGTCTTCTTCTGCAGATTCTTGTGAGGACGTTTCTTCAGTCTCTTCCTAGAAAACAAAAATAGGAATGATAAATACCATGGTGACCATACACCTTAGGTTGCCAGTTCAGTTGTCCCTCATGCAGCTGACAATTACCTCTGGAGCTAATAAAATGCCCTTCACAACTCTTGTGATGCCTTGAAGAGCCACCTGGGGGAGGAAGGAAAGGTACCCTTCTCTCTGATCCCCCCACCTTGCCCTGCCTTTCTTCTACGCCAGGAGATGTCAAGAAAAAGCATTCTGTGTCATGCTTTGTCATGGGCCTCTTATGGCCAGCAGGCATGAACAGCTAGAAAATGGAAACATTTTGAGCACAAATCCAATCCTAAGCAGTTGCTCTGGGAAGCCTTTCCCTCCTCACTAGCCCTAGTGCTGCTTCATGTTTGCCTTCAGCAAGCCGGACCAAATGTGATGTTCTTATTCTGCTTTTTAAGCAACTGTACAGTACCATTCAGGACATAGGTGGTGAACTGGGGGCAACTAACATTTCTAATAAAAGGGGCTGTCAATGAAAAGCTGTTTTTTATCAAATACTGAACATCATCACCTAAGACAGCACGTGAAAAAGATCTAGGAAGAAGAGGAATTCACCTCCTCAGCCAACTGAGACCTTTGAAGAATGACCAGCTTAAAACAGTTTATAACAGTCTTCATACTTTAATAGATTTGATTTTCCACATGGCTTCATTTTGTCTGGGTGGCTAACTGACACAATTTATAACTCTCTTCCTTTCCCAGGCCACTACAGTACACCATTCAGCAAAGCTTGCCTTAAAGCTTGCCTGCCGTATACTACCAAACTTCCATTCATTAGTGTTTGAAACACCTCAGCTGTGAAGGGCTCCTAAATGCTACCATGTGTGACACTGCTGCAGAGGAGCGGCATCGAGGAAAAACACAGTGCTTTAATCATAGGCCACTGCTTACTGCAATCCCCTTTCAAAAGGTTTCGACCTTCCCCTGCACCTCCGTGCAAGAAAAGACTGAAAAAAAGCTGTAAATCCAGGGAATAAACATAACTATAAATGAATGGATGACAGCTTAAAAAATATAACCATAGCAGCATCAAGCCATGAGATTTCACACTGGTTTTGTTTAGTCTGCTTTGGGTTATGCGGGAAAAGTGAAAAGCATGAAGGAAATGCTCCCCCCCTCTTCCTTCATGCCCCCACCCCTGCTAAAGCTTGGGCCTCAGATATTTAGGCCAGTAGGTTTATACCTCTTGACAAGGAAACAGGCCATGACCCTGGGGTACTCTCTTGACCAGCAGGCACAAAGAAAGATGTAGCATGATCAAAGCCATGGATAGAACAGAGAGAGCAAAATCAAGTGTCAGCCGCCCTCTGACCTTGAATTTTCAATTCTTAAATTCCAGATGACACTGAATTATCATACAGATGAACAATCTTTTCCTCACAACTACTGTCCACTTGTAGCTGGTTATATTCACAGCACTGCAACAAAAATGATTCTCAACTTATGAAATGATCAAGCAAATTTTACTCTGTCTCTGGTGGCACTGGGGAAACTGAGCTCATACTCCATCAAATCCCATTAATGCATAATGCATTTCTCCTGCTTATCTTCTGTGCAGAACAGGACTGTTACACCATTTCAGTCAAGAAGAAAAATTGTATTTTCAGGCACCTACCGGAGGGCTAATTTAGGCTGCATGTGGAGAGAAACAGCAAAGTATGTCGGTTTGAGCCTTAGTAATTCAGAACTCAGAATGATTGCGGCAAACCCCAGTTTTGCCTCCAAGCCAAGTATTTCAGTTAAAAAATTACTACTGTGGGTTCTGTGCTCTTAACATAATACAGGTAGACATGTTTTGGTATTTGATGATGATCATGTGTTGAATTTCTTAGAGCACTGTGGTCAGCCCTGAGCGTCTGATTATCATTTCCTGGAAGACAGCAGTACACGTGTGGGTGCGGAGCAGCAGCTCTCTTTGTTTTATGCTTCGCTTGTCAGGAGACTGCTGAAACCTGATTAAATCATTTTTCCATGAAGGTAGACTTCCGATCACAAAGTAAGAATGATGGGGGAGAGGGAAAGTATGTGAAAGGACATACTTCAGAGCTCAGTCAGGGTGGCCACAAGAGAGCTCTTTTAAGTTAAAAAGTTGTCCACTCTAGTGATTTTTACTATGAATCTCACAGTATTTTTTCTTCCTAGTGACCCTTGCTGCAGTCACCAAGAAAATTAATGAGAATCTCTTCCTTCATATTTATGTATGTTCATGTAATGAAGGAAGTTTCTCTCACCTGCACATGTATGTGCAAATATATATACCTGTAGTACTGGGAAGGATGAGAAACTAAAAATCAAGCTAAAAATCACCCCCCCCCCCACCCGCCAAATATGCAAATAATAAGCTAATTATTAAAAAAAATATTTGAGACTGACCAACTTCAAAATCACATCAGTGTTGGGAAATACATTTTCATTAAGAAATTAAGAAAAGCTTTTCAAAGGAATCAGATTGTTCATTCCTTGCAAAAGCCTATGATGCCTCAGCTGCAGATGAGTGGTGTTAAGCCAACCTATCATGTAAGCTTCTTGTCAAGACACTGATGGAGACATGACTGTTGATCTGAAGCTCTTACAATTCAAACAAAGGGATACTATAAATCAGACATATATGCAAGGAGGGACCCAAAGGAAGAAGTGAGCAGAGGTTCTGAAAGACAAAATACAGGTGGTGTATAGTGCAGTAACAGAGAGGAATTTTTTTCACTTGTGAAAAACTGGTTGCAAATATCAGAAGGTTGTGCAGCTGGGACCCTCAACTAACCTCTGCCTCTACAGTTCCCCCCACTCGCGCAACACAAAGATGGAGGGTGGGGCAGGCATTTTGAAAAATGTGTAACCTTTAGAAGTTGAAAACCGGCTCTGTGCTGAGTCACTTCAGCCAGAGATTCACTGAAGTGCTGGTACTGTCAGGGCACAGGATACCTCAGGGGAAGGATGCTTATCAGTAGTAAGTACCCTCCAGGCACTTTAAATTCCTCACAAACCTGCCAAGGTTGATGGCACAGCCATGTGTCATAGTTCCGGAGTCAAAAGTTGAAGGAGGAACTGGGCCTGGAATTAAATACTTTTTAAGTCCAGATGTGCTTCCAATAAATTCAAAGAGAAGGGAACAAATAAAGAAGGAACCCATGGTCATTAGAGCAGACATCAGAAAGTCACTCAAAGTGTGATAGCCATGCAGAGCATAAATTCAGCAACACTATCACAGGATGCACTCAGCCAAGAAGTGAAAGTTTCGGGTTACGCGGCAGCTTTAACTGAGGTTGTTCTCTCTTCGGTGCGTTCACTTTAGTTGTGGAGGCAGAATGGTGACATGTGTTAATTGACCATAAATGTGCATCGACCCAGTTTTGCCTTGAACTGCTACTTCCCAGGTTATTTGTTTTCTGCTGCAGCAAACTAGTGAGAGGTTGGGCCAGCAGACTGCAAAGAGAAACCTGAGAAAGCTTCAAACCAGGTTGGATCTGGCTAACAGGGAAGCCACAGCCATGAGAAGCTCTGAGAGAATAGGACAAATACTTGAAGAACAGAGTGAGTACTCATATCCATAACTCAGGCTTTGCTCCTGCTGCTATAACAATATCCTATGTGACTCCCCATGCATCCATGTGTACATCCCCATACATGTATCCTCAGGGGCTGATTGGCACAGGGACCTGCTGCAGAAGCAGTTTTACTTAGCACATGCTGTTCTTGGTTATCCACGGGTCCCACGTCCTGAGCTGCTACAGGACATAACACGGCATTGTATGGCAAAAGCAGCACACTGAGCCATTCCCACCCACAGCTGCTGTAACTGCCCTGTCAGCCAGGCAGTGATAGGGAGCTGGTGTCTCTCCCAAAACAGAGCTGGAAAGTGGCTTTCTCCAAAGCTCATAAAGGATCCTTTTCCTGAGGGGCATCACTGGCAAGGGGCTGACAGATGTGGACACCAGCCCGGACCCTCATTCTCACTGAGGTTGGCCTCCCGCAGGAGTGAAAGGACAAATACTTTGCAGTGACTCACAGCAGGTATCTGCCCTCAGAAGGTCTACTCTGTTGTTAGTCCTGATTTAACAATGGTGAAGGTAACAAAAAAGGAACAGGAACCAGAACAGTAGGTTTCATTTAGAAGTGCTGTCTGCAGCCAGTATGTTTACCTGGGCTAGCCAACACAGGATTTGAAAACATGACAACCTTGGTGGGATCTGGTTGCCTGAAGATGGCACCTGAGACTGTTTTATCTCAGTTTTATCCCTGGATATCTCATCTGGTAAGATAAGCCAGAAAGGTGCTGGTCTCCTGTGTCATGCCCTCCTCCTCTGTGTGGATCCCTGTGATCCCCTGGGACACCCAATGGCCACAGACCAACTGTGTCAAGATGTGTGGACCCATGAACACCCTCCAGAATGATGAAGTTGAATCTCTGCTTTGGAAGTCTCGGTGCTATGGAAAAACAAACTGGTGTCAGACTCTTTTCAGTGCTGCCCAGCAACAGGATGAAGAGAAATGGCCATAAACTAAACAACAGTAAGTTCCACCTCAACATGAGGAGGAACTTCATTACACTGAGGGTAGCAGAGCACTGGAATAGGCTGCCCAGGGAGGTCATGGGGTCTCCCTCTCTGTAAACTTTCAAACCCCACCTGGACATGTTCCTGTGTCACCTGCTCTAGGTGACCCTGCCTTGGCAGGGGGGTTGGACTGGATGATATCCAGAGCTCCCTTCCAACACAAATGAGTTTATAATTCTGTGCTTCACTGCTAAACCTCAGAGGTGGTACCATCCAGAATGGATGTGTGCCACAAATGATTGTATTTAAATATCAACATCTTTTCAGATCAAAGTCACCCCCTGATCCCAAGAGACTTCTTTCCCATGACATCCTGTGCATGTGAAATGTAACTCTACCTGCTGCCCAAGACCTCCATTTGGTGATCCACATTTGGCTGGTGCAGGCTATTTTTTCTAGAATTACAAGCAGCCAGTA